CCCGCTCCCTCGTCCTGGCCCACACTCCTACCATTTCCTGTGGATGCTTCTTTCGCAAAGCCTCTTGCACTCCCTGTTCCCTTTGCACCACCATTTCCCAGAGCTGCACCCCAAAACCATCCGAACTTCGTTCAGTTGTTGAAGTGCGTCTCCTGGTTACAGGTTTTTTCCTGCTTAAAATGGCCAAATATATCTAAGACGAGGCTTTTGTCCCGTAAGCCCCACCCCCATTGGAGATGGTCAGTGGCTCCCTCTGGCCACGATGACTATAGTGACCGAACTTCCAACGGTGCAAGGGGACGTTGATAATGGACTTCAATCTGAACGGTGCAGGCAAACTGGGGCTGACGGCCGACCAGCCCACAGCCACCACTGTGCTGCTTGAACTCTCCCAAAAGTGTTCCTAAGGGTCAACTCAGAACTAAACTTTCAAGGTCAATTTTTTTGAAGTTTACATGTTTAAGATTCATGATATTCTGACATTCTTCGATAAAACATATCCATGTTTGTTTTCATGTAAATGTAATGTTTTAAGTCATGACCCTTTCACAGGAGCACGATTTCCAAACATCTTACCCAAAATCTTGGAGCAGAGTCGATTGACCAACAGGAAGACCTACTATCTGGACCTAAGTCCTGAAAAGCCCACTGCAGTACACATGGCCTCTGGCCACGCTGTCGCTCGGAGGGCAGACCGTGCCATTCACAAAGACCAGGGAGTGAACGACGCTCCGCGGGGCTGTCACTCACATGCACGCGGTGGCCTACCCGTTAGCTCCTTCCACGTGGTCTTGTTGGAACCCCATTTCCGTGTCAATAATATATACACCTCTCTCTCCTCTGCCTTCCTCAGCCCCACTCGGTCTTCTCGATCCGGGTCCATTTGCTCTGGCTGCCATTGAAAATACAAGACACTCAGTTAAATCTGAATTTCAGAAAAGCAAGAATGTTTGTTAGTTTGTTCCACACAATATTTGGATTAAAACTTAACTAGGTGTCCTGTATTTTTATTTGCCAAATCTGGCAACCCTGAGTGTAGAGCCGTTTCTGACCACCGTCCCCCCTTCCCTACCCAGGCACGTGAGCCCTCCTACACACTGGACTTCATCCCCAAGTACAGCTCGAAGGCCTGTTGGCAACCTTGAGACAGACTGATTTACTGCATTTTATCCAGCAGCCCCAGCTTGTCACTAGGCACATGTGACTTGGCCCACTGTGGGCCACTTTCATTTGCAAAATGGGTGGTGGGTTGAGTGGACAGCTGACTGAATGACCTCGTAGGACCCTCCCAATCTAACACTCTGTAGCTCTAAGGCATCCAAGTTTTGACTCTGTTTCTAGCTGGCCAACAAGATGCACCTGTCGATAACGCACAATTCAGTCTCCTGAGAATTTGCCTCTTCCTGAGTTTGCATCCTCGCTCCCCCTAGGGCGACAGAAATCATCAGAAGGCCCTGCCAAGAGGCAAATGTTATTAGGAGGGTCAAATGTTACTCTGCCACCATCTGTCTATACTGTCCCACAAGTTGGTGCCATTATACCTATCGTTTTTCTTCCGTTTTTCTTAATTTCTTAGTCATACTAATTAGAGAATCCACAAAGGTGAGAGAATCCCCTCTCCCTATCCCCACCTGCTCATCACGCGTCCCGGTGACAACCAACAGTGGTAAAATGTCCTTCAAGGTCACCTGCTCAGGACGCCTCTTGAAGGAGGAAGGGAAGCAGGGCGCGGGGGGCGGGGGGAGTAAAGGAGGGCACCGTCTAAGCTCCCGAGCTGCTTGGCAAGGTGGGCGCCCAAAGTAAGTCACAGGGGACAGGAGAGCCTGGTCGATCTCAGAGCCAGTCCCTGGCGTGTGCAGAAAGAGGCAGATGTAAGAAAGTGAACCTGAGCGTGAAGAGAAAGCAGCACCACAGGTCCCTGGAGGATGGCTCTGCCGACGAGGTCTCTGCCCGTCCCCAGAGGGACACGCGCCCACCCGCGCCGAACCAGCAAGGGCACTGCTGAGCCTCAGCGGTACGCAACCCGCCTGCTGCACGGGCGCTGGAACCGACCTGCGCTGCTCTTTCCCGTTTCTGCTGCTTCCAGACCTTTTCCTGTCTCTCCCTCGGTTCCTGCTGGATCTCAGCTCCTCCAACACCCCCTCTCCCGCTCCCTACCTTACCCGCTGTAATAGGTGACATATGTCCTCGGCAACGGGAACGGGCCCTTCCGAGTTCTGTTTCGGCCTCTCGTCCGTTTACATTCTGCGAAAGCGCGCAGGGGGTTGTTCACTCTAGGAGGCTCCGGTCACTACTCAAATCCAAAGACGCATTCAGAGGAAATTCAGAAAACGAAAGATTCTAATCTCGAGTCCTCTGTTTCAGCCTACAAGGAGAAAATGAAGGAGCTGTCCATGCTGTCGCTGATCTGCTCCTGCTTCTACCCGGAGCCTCGCAACGGCGGCATCTACACCTACGACGGTGAGTTCGCAGCAGACGCCCGGCCCGCGAGGCCGCGGGCAAAGCCTGGACCGCTGGTTTTTCTCGCTCACGGCTCCTGACACAAGTGAATCAGTGTTTCGATCTCACTACCTGACTTGCTGCGTCTACTTACTAGGTCTTATCGGTCGCCTGTTGCTCAAAACAGTGTGAGTTCGGTGCTAATGACAGCACATGAGCTAAGGCTGATCGTCACTGCAGCCACGTCTCACACGTCAGCGCCCGCAGTACGTCCAAGGCTTTTCTTTGCAAATAATAGAATATGCTAAGCTCTATTTAGAGCAGGTAATTTGCATAAAATGCTTTCTACTTAGAAAACTCAGAAGAGAAAATCGAGAGCCACGCCCGTTTTTGCTTAGCATAGTCCTTATAAGGTTCCCACGTATGCGTTATGCATGTCAACAGCCTAATAAGTTCCAGTAATAAAAATGACTTGTGGCTGAGGCCCCGGATAAAGAGGACTTACAAAGAAAAGGCCACAGAACCAGCCTGGCTCTGCAATGTGCTGCCACAAAGCCCTAGCGCTGGACTGAGCCTGACTCGTTCTCAGCTGGTCCCTTGCTGGCTCTGCCACTATCTGCACGATCTCTGGCAAGCCACTTAGATTCTCTGAGCCTTATTTAATTCTAGTATCTTCCTCCCAGGGGTGCTGTGGGGTGAAAATAGTTTAATGCAAGTCAAACACTTAGCCCCAAGCCTAACCCCTTGTAAACACCCCCCGAAAATGGTAGCTATCATTATCAACAATACCATCCTCACTTAATTTGGTCAATAGAATCAAAATGTTTGATACAGGTATGTGTGTAGGGGACAGAGCCAAAGCATGCTTCTCTAGCTGTCTGGCTCGGAAGTATTTTTTTTTCCGCATGTGTAAAGAAATACATTGCAGACACAGTGAAGGGGTCTGTGGCAGTCAACCCCTTGTGTGCCTTTGAAGCCTGTGCCAGGACTCAGGCGTTTTCCTGCCAAAATGATTCTGTCGTGGCCCCAGCATCGTAGATGCCAAGTAACTGTTTCACGAGGAAACATCCTTCCTGTGAAAGGGTTCGGGTTCCGACCAAAATTCCCATCAGAACACAGGTCCAGTGCCCACTTTGTGCAGATCCATCCGGGCAGTGAATAAACCAGATGGCTCCTTAATCTGCTAGCTGCAGCTGTGACTAAATCCAGCTGTGTTTCTTCTGAGATTCTAAAGTGTCACTGTGTTGTCACCGAGGCTCCGAGGTGGACACAGCATAGGCCTCCCCTCGAGGAACTCGGGGCCCAGAAGGCATCACAGCACGGTCAGTGAGGAGACCGCAGGGTGCCAGGTGCCCCGTGGGACAGAGAAGGCGGTTCGGGCTCTGCCTGCTTAGGGGTTGATGGCGGGAAGGAGAAGGTCAGAGGTCATGTATAAGCTCCGCCTCAGAAGCTGAACAGACCTTTCCACGTTGCTTATCGCTGCCTCCTATAAGAACTGGTAGAGAATTTCAAATTTCCAAAGTCTTGAACCTTGCCTTTTACATCTATTTAGCTAATAACTCCACGTGCTCACTGTCGACAAAAGTTATATAATAACCATTATAACAATAATATGACATAATAATTGTCATTATTATAGCTTGCATTTACACACTCCAAACCTGAGCTTTACATTTAGTGCCCTTTATCTTTTTTTTTTTTTTGGAACATCTTTACAATTTAATTTTTTTAAACAGCTCTATTGAGCTATAACTGACACGTACAACACCGCGCATGTTTAATGTACGGAATTTGATGAATTTGGACAAATATCCTTTATCTTTTAATCTTCACAACAATCTTATGAGAAAGGCCCTCTTTTCATCTCCACCTTTTAGATGAGGAAATGAGAGCGGAAAGAAGTTGACTAACTTCCCCGCATCACACAGCTCGCAAGAGATGCTTACTATTTGGAAGCAAATACAGGTGGTACAGAGTCCAGAGTCTCTAACCTAAGCCACTTAGGATGCCATCGCCTCATCAAATGAGCCATTTTTATCTGCCCTTGTCCACTTGAAATCCTTTTCCATGAGTCCCTAAAATTTTCAGAGAATTTTAGTTAAGACCTAAGTATAAAACTTAGATGCCTTCGGGAAAATCTAAAACATTTTTACATTTGTGAAAAAGAAAAAACCAACATCATTTCCAATACACTTAAGGAACTGATTTTGTCCCTGTGGTCGGTTGGCATTTAAGGATCTGAGGTCAGCTCCTGTCCACCTGGGGTGTCACTCGACTTCAGTGCACACTCACTGGGCAAAAACGCTGTGACAGAGCACGTTGCTCACATCAGGAGATGTGATATTTCTTCTCTGCTCTGCCCTAATCTGAACTTGCCTGAGACCTGGCCAGCTTGGCTGCCACCATTATAAAGGGACCTTGGTGATTGAAGAGCGTTTCGGGGTTAGGGAGCCCTGCGGTGGTCAAGCCCTAGACACAGTGTCACTTTAGGGCACTGAGGATGTTTCAACCTGCAGGGGAAAAAACTTGAAATGGAAAATCGCAACTATTTTCGAATACCTGAAAAATGGTGATGCACAAAAGGCGGACAGCCTAACTTCCGGAGGGCTGAGGGGACGAGGGCCAGCGGCGGACAGGAGAGGGATGCAGAGGGGTGCGGCCTGGGGCCCGAAGTGAGGGACGCTCGTCTGAAAGCGAGCGGTGCCCAATGAGCTTTCAGGAGATCGTCATGTTTCCTCAGGTGTAAGCTGTGTGGTTGCAAATGTCCTAGCAGATGCTGTCGCTCTATTTTACAGTATAAAATGTATTCTTCCATGTTATACATCCTATTGCGCAGCATTAAAACGTGAGGGTCTGATAATCTGCTCAGAAAGAAAAACTGGCTAACCAATTTTCAGTTCTTAGACATTTCTAAAGTGTACAGACCATGTAACCTAGATAAGCAGATGTGCCCCACCCCCGCCTGGGCCACAGCCCCAGGCGTCCCGGAGGAAGATGTCCTAAGGAGCAAAGATGCTGCCGTGGGACCCTGTCTCGCTGTCCCCAGCAGACCCACTGTAAGTGCCCTGCAGAAAGGGACCCCATCGCAGCATCCCCCCGGAGTGGCCAGCACATACACCCAAGGGCGAGCGAGCCAGGGCCGGGACACTCTGCACACGAGCCCGGCCTGGCCGAGCATGTCCACGCACGTACCGTGTGACTCGGTTCCAACCTCAGGGCTATGCACGAGACCTGGGGAACGTGGTCATTTATTTTCCTCATTGTCTGGCCTGTAAATGCCTCTGGCCACAGTCATTCTCTCTCTCTCTCTCTCTCTCTTTCTCTCTCTCTCTCTCTCTCTCACACACACACACACACACACACACACACCTGTGCTACTAGACTTTTATGTGAAACTCATAGTTATTCAAACAGAAAATAAAGTTAAGTTTAAAATCAATTCAGGCTATTTCTTCCTCAGTATGCCTACCATTCTTCAGCTCCCTATGGACACTGTTGAATTCCTCAACGTTGTAAATATTTATTCTGTTAAAATATATCCATAATCAACCTAAAGAAAGAGGCCTTACGTGTTCAAAACGAGGCGGAGCGAAAGATCACAGGCAGCACTGTATTCCTACCTGACGCTGAACAGCGCTGCTACCTCCGGAATTCAGATGACTAAAATGAACCCATGCCTCACGCTCCGGATGCTAAACATTCTCCAATACTCCTTTCTCAGACATGGAGGTGAAGCAAATCAACAAGCGTGCCTCCGGCCAGGCCTTTGAGCTGATCCTGAAGCCGCCGTCCCCCATCTCAGAAGCCCCGCGAACCTTAGCATCCCCGAAGAAGAAAGACCTATCTCTGGAGGAGATCCAGAAAAAGCTGGAGGCCGCGGAGGAGAGGAGAAAGGTAACTGTCCATGGGTTGCTTTAAGTCTGTTTTTAATTACCGTCGATATACATTATAATTGTTTCAGGCGTATAACATAGCGATTCGACATTTACGTACCCTACGAAGTGATCGCTATGATAAGTCTAGTGCCCATCTGCCCCATCTTTAATTTTCCACAACCAGATGGCTAAGAACAGCGAAGGACAGTAAACACGAAGGGCACTCAGAAATCCCAGGGACTTTATACCTAGCGACAGAAGTTAGGTCTGAATGTATCTGTACCAACTACGTGACTATGGGAGTCCGTCCCATTGAGATACCCTTAATCAACTCAAATGGAATTATTTTAGATAATTCATTTCTGCATTGTATTTTCCACTGACTTTATGAGGATATAGTTTCGGAATCATGTAGTCGCTAAGAATATGCTCCATGCACGATCTTATGCTTTGAATGGAAACTCTGCATTGATAATTTTTTATTTTATGAAGATGTGTATAAAAAGTTAGCCAACACATTAAACACTTCTGTGCTGGACAGTTACAAAGAGAAGGAAGGTAGTCCTTCACCTAAAGACTGAATACAGGGAGTACAGGACAAAGCACACATGTGTGCATTTGTGCACGTATGTATGTATGTATGTATGCATGCCTATACATATACATACAGACAGACATACACGTACACATGTAGCATCAGATAACAACATCCAAAGATCAGAAGTCCTCAAGTTAAATTTGTTGAACCAGAAAATAATTTTTGTTTTAACATCCGTGGTTGAAAAATCTTCCTGCCATGTAACATATCAATCAGACTTTCAGATTTCAGTACAGTAAGGTTCTCCAAGCGTTGAACAAGTACGTCTTTACATATATATTTATTGTATTTGACCGATTACTATTGTTATAGGTGAGGATTTTAAAAGGAGGAAACTGAGCTACTAATCCAAGTATAAGAGGTTGCTTTAAAAATATTTATTAGCTTTTTCTGTTGTTACGTATAGCTTTCTTCTCCTAGTAAAGCTAAATTCACAGAAATCCACAATTTGTATCTGCAAATGTTTAGCGTTACTATGTATTCAGAGTTACAGTCCATTAAGACTTTGCTGCCAACAGTTGTAAATAACTAACTACGACAGTAGAGAGCATGTTGCACCTAAGGCAGTTTAACTCCACACCCAAGAATTGGCATCTTATAGGGCTTACGTATAGATTATAGGTTGACATGTAGGGAGATGCTGTGACTTGAATAGAATACAAATTCAGTGACTGAGTTGAAATTGAAACAGATAAAAATTCAACATCGCGGTTCAGGATATTGCTGGTGTTTCCAGGTAATATATTTAATTCGAAGGAAATTATTAAAAGAAAAAGAACGCAGAGATGATCAAAATCAACTGGGTGTTTTCATGAACTCCCCTGAGTCAACCACTTACTGGTTCTGGTAAAACTCCTGCCCCCTGACAACAGTAAATTATCAGCAAGTATACATTTTTTACAATCGAACGAGAAATTGGCAGGGATAAAGACGAGAATGACAAATTCAATAGTGTACGGGCTAAATCATTACTCTAATGGCTATCGTAACACTAAACATCTGCAGGTGGAAATCGCGGATCCCCGTAATTCTGCTCGTCTGAGATGCGTTTCCCCTGCTGGGGCTAAGAACACGTGGACTCCCTTTTGGGGCGTTACTCCTCACACCTCTCGTCCCAGGTGTCTTACCCACCCCCTCGGCAGGTCAGGGGTGATCATGTGAGCCAGGCCGGCCAGTCCAAGTGCTGCCTCCCCTCAGCCGCGATGACCGGCCGGGGATGGGCATGGGATCCGGGACAGGCCACTGAGACTCAGGCCTAACAGGGCTCTCGTTAGAGCTATGAGGAGAGAGAAGCTCCCTTTCTGCTGGATTTGCTGATTTGTGAGCAGAAGGATTTGGGATGACTGTTTGAAATGAAACTTAGTATTGAAACCAATTAGATGCAGGATTCGATAATAGATATCAAAGAAAGTTTCCTGACAGTATCGCTTGATCTCCTGAATCCAGCTGTTTTCGAAGCTGCAACCTACACTTTTTAGTCACATACCCCTTTTTGGTTCTGGCTGCTTGACTTGGGCTTGGTTACGTGCATGCCCTCACTGAGATTATTACTGAGATCCACGCTCTTGCTGAAGGCTCTTTATGAGAATTAACGGTTCTCCAAATGAGGGCTAATTAAGTCGGTACAGCCCAATAGAATAAAATCAATTAATGATTTTTTAAGTTGGCACTTTCTGTTAATTAGTTTACATTTTCTTCTAATTAGAACCATTTTACTGCTTGATGTGAATGGCAGCATCTTGTCAGAGAAACGTCTGCTTGAAAAGCCGGGTGACTGAAAAAAACAGCATTAGGTGAATAGAGAAGGCACGAAAGTGTGCTAGGCTCAGAGAACGCCCCGGAACTGGGCATGCCCCCCGAGTGAGAACGCAGAGCGTGCCCCCCGGGGCAGCGGCCAGCCCAGCAGTGTGAACCAGCGGGTCTGGGGGCAGAGTGGGCCAGGAGAGGGGAAAGACTGTCCAGGGCCTCGGATGCCCAGTGAGATGCTCGAGTTCCATCGTGAGAGGAACGAGGGGTCACTAGACGCTTTTGAAGATGCACAGGACAGCCTCGCCTGGGGTCATTGTCGTGGCCCCGGATCCATTTCTTTTCCCACACATTACAGGTTTTTAAAGATTCTGCCTACCAAACATACGACATTTAAAGAAGCATTAGTAAATTCCTTTTGTCACGGTTATAATCAAAGAAACTTGTAACTGCCAATGAATACTTCTCATTATAAAGTAGTAAGCACTTTCTCACTAAATCGACATAATTCTAACTCAAAGTACGTATAAAAATAGATGTAGACACAGAAATCATGAAATACAATTCCTGATAGGGCTTTTAAAGCATAAAAAGCGTGTGACATGCCCCCTCCCCCCAACCACCGATTAGTGCCCCTGATCGCCTGCTGCCGGGGACCACTGGCCTGGGCTGTGCTGCGGGATTCTCTGTGTTGCAGGGGGGCTGCCACGGAGGCACCTCTCTGTGGGCCTGAACCCCCTTGTATTAAGGTTTGGGCAGTCTCCCCAAGTCCTCATTCCATCTGCCACAGTACTGCCATGCTGACCATCTGCTCACTGTTGGACAGTCCTTGAGGCTCCTATGAACAGCTAGCGGAAGTTTATTATTTAAAAAATACAACTTTTTCTTGCTTTTTCTCCCTTCTTCGGTTATATCTGAGAATCAGTGTTCCTCTCCATGAAACCGTATTATTTCATGATGTCAGCTCGAAGCTCATATTTTGAAACTGAAGTTTCCATATTGTAACTGACCTACATGGGTGAGATGATACAAACTCCTTAGTCATCCATCTATCCATCCATCCATCCATCCAACAAACGTGTATTTAGCAGAACTAAGCTACACGTACATCCTAGTGGCCCCGGGCAACCCCAGCTCACTCCTGCTGCTCTCATATTATTATTATTTCAATCTTATAAGGGTCCCGGTTGAACAGTAATTACACGGGCACCCCAAGCGGAGCACAGTGTTTCAGAGCATGTTTTAAAGCTCAGTGGTTAAGAATACATAGTTAAGAGAACGTCCATTATCAAATAGATGTAGACACAGAAATCATGAAATACAATAGCTGTGTGACCTTGAGCAAGTCACTGATCTACCCATCCGTTAAATGAGACTAATAATAGGATCTATGTCATACAGTTAGTGCAAGAATTTGAAGAGTCACTTACTCTTCCATGTTGCTCACTCTGCAAAGACACATAAAGAGCACTATTAGCTATTATTGCGTAAAAACACATCCGGTTCTTGACCTCTCAAATAGGATGGTCTAGCAAACTCATAATTGTACAAAGTTTCTCATTAATGCAGATATCAAAAGGGTACCATACAATAAATTTCATAAATATTTTTAAATGTTAAAAATATTATTTATCGAATTACAAGGAAAAATTGTTTGATAGGTAACAGATATAGAAATAGGTCAACCCAACTAAAAGTGGCTTGAAAGAAATAATATTATGAAAAAATGATAAAAACTTAAGGATTTTAAATGACATTGATAAAATCTCACACTAAAATAGATTAACTTGAAAAGAATGCTACTCAAACCAGTCCAGCGACATCAGTGGCATCCTGACAATATTGGTACAATCAACCCCAAAGTCACTGAATCTCTGAAAGAAAGATATGTTGCTTATTTTTAACAAAATCGCATCAAACTGGATTATTAGTCACCAGACTTGATAAGACTCACCTCTTCCATCTGGCGGCATCTCACGTAGATGGCAACTGAATCCAGGAAAAGTGAGGTGGTTTGTACATGCAGTAGATTCTGGACTGGACCACCGAGCACCGGGTTAGTCAACATTCAGGAAGCATTCTACTCCTTAGAGAATGTGACACACGGGCCACAGACGCCCCACGCGTGTCACCCCCTCTGTGAAGAGCCCCCCTGCCCAGCGGTTCTGTTCTGAGGACTTAACCACAGTAAACGCGGACACGTTTAGCAGAAGGGGTCATTCTGAAGGTCTCTGAATTTTCATTCTTTTAAATTTCTTGTTATGATTCTGATGCTTCGACACAAGTGAATATTACACCCTTTTGTTTCACACAATTATATCCCGCTGTCACATTTTAATAAGACGTTGCTCGTGACTTTAACTAGGTTAATGTTTTTTCACTGTTAACAATAAAACCAATCCTTAGAGACATCATCTAACCTACTACTGTAAAAGCATGGAGATGCTCCGAGATCTAGTGTTTTATAAATGGTTCTCGACGGCAAATAATATATCCAAATGATGAGAAGGGACAAGAAAATAAAGGGGCAGAAAAATGTGTTTACTTCAGAAATAAATGGAAAACTAGCATTATCTAAAACGTAGTCTTAAATCTCATTTGCATACCTAACATGAGTTTTATACACCACTTAACTCAAATTTATCTTCCATTTAATTTGTATAGTAATTAAACTCTTATACTCAGTCATAGAAGAAATGATAATGAACCTCTTTGGAAAACGCTGAAGTGTTCCTCGATGTGTAATAACTCTTCCCCCGTCTCATCATTTTTCCCTTCGCCTGCCTCCGGGTACCGACTTCAGCGATACTGTGAGGAGGGTCAGGCCGAGCACAGGTGTTTGGCACGAGCGTGCCCGTTATCACCACGGGAGACGGAGACGCTTCCTTAGTCTCCCGGGGCCTCACGCTCTCGTCTCTGGGGTCTACGCTTTCCCCTGACGTTGCATTACATCAGCTGCTCGTTATCTCGCCCGGCTTTTCTACTTCCGTTTCCCAGTGACCTTCCACATTAGGTACATGTATCCGGAAATGTCCCTCCACAGCCAGATGCTTTTCCCCTGAACGATTTAACACCTTTCAGCAAACTCCAGCTCTCCATCCTCCCCGTCCGTCAGTGGGATCACGGCAGCTCCCTGCCAGTCGACCCGAGCAGGGAATAACGTAAGAACACCTCCCTCTCCCGCCGCTAAAACGAAGGCAGATGCTCACACTTCTCCGTACTGCTACTTTTTATTCGGCATCCTCATACTCACATCATGTCACGTTTTTGTACGTTTTTTCTGGACTTCATGCTTATGTTCTCATTGATAGAAATACTGGAATCAGAACCAGCTCTTTTCCGTGCAGCTATGGCTGGGAGGTTAAGCTACACTCATGAGAGAATCGACTTCTGCCAGGAGTAGAAGGCAGAGCACCACGAGGAAGGACCAAAAGAAGGAGCCACAGATACTTTCTCCGTGAGGAATTCACTTCATGATCAGCTTCTCATCCAGGAGATGGTCATGGACTGGAGCTTTAAATACTCGAAACATACATAATCATTCGGCCCTGGCCACCGTGTTAGCCGAGACAACGGTGGCTGTAACAGTCCCTTCCAGGGGGTAAGACAAGGGACCACAGAAGTGAGCAGGCCCGAGAGTGTCGGATCTTTGTCATGTAGCGGTGGCCTCACGTGAGACCACTCTGGACTGCCTTCTGTTTCCATTTCACCCCATTAATTGCGCTAATGAAATGCACTTGACACCTTGGCTGGGTAATCTCATCGAGCCCCAGCGGCTGCAAAAGTACCAACGCCATGAACTGGGGCATTTCACACTGAGCCAGACGCAGCTCCAGGAAATGCATCAGGCCCCCCCTTCTGCTCTGACAACGGGGCCTGCGGGACTGTTTGTCCTCACAGACCTTGTGTGCCCCACCAAGGCGAGCAGCTTGAAAAGGCACGTGCTGCTACGTCAGCCTTTCACTGCCAAGGCCAAGGGTTTCCCTTCTAGAGCCTACTCCTCTGCCGTTGGGGGAGACTGTCTTTGGCTTTCACAAAAGGTAATTACGAATGCAAATATAAACATCGAGTTGCGACCTAATTTAACAAAGTGCCAGAGTCAATTCGAGCATCTGAAAATTAAAAATGTACAGCTGCCGTGTGATAATGACCCACGGTAACTCTCCCTGTGAGTGGAAATGGCCGTGAACAGCCCAGCAGCTGGTGTCTAGGGCCAGGGGGGCGCTGAGCAGGGAGAGAGGGCAGGCTGAGCAGGAGGCCCACTCAGCGGGCGAGTCAGGAAGGACTGACGGTCACCAACACGAGCACCCGAAGCCAAGAACTGTCAACAATCAAAGGGCCTTGACGACCTATCCCGCACTCGTGAGGTAGCCACGATGTCGCACTGAGTTTACCTGTACCAGTAGGTATAATTGCCGTCGCCTCCCGGTCACAGGTGTTTGGAGTTTTAGCTTCAATAATAATGGCCACCGTTTTCTCAGTGCTAACTTCCCCCTGTTGGACACTGCTCAGTACCTTGCCTTTCTGTAGTCCCGGCAGCAGAAAACAAGCAAAATCAACAAAGGACGCTCGCCAGCGGTCCCACCTAGTGGTGGCAGGATGACCCAGCCAATTTCTTGTGGAAAGGCTCCACGTTTCCTCGTTGTTTTTCATACTGGTTTTCTGGCTGGCTTTAACGAAGCGAGAACGTGACGGGTCCTCTAAAGATGTGAATGAAACCATCATGGGGTTAAGACTGGAAGTGGGGCCGGTTCCCAGAATTCTTTCTGATCTCCAGCGAGTCACTAAACGTGTTCCTGACAAACCAGGAGGAACCTCAGGGCCGGACGCCCCTCATGCCAACATGTTCCCCGCGTTTTGTGCGTGGTGAGCCTCCTGCAGCAGAAGGACACCAAGACTGTCCGATTTCACCATCCCTGCAGAATTTTATCTGAAGACAAGTTTCTTCCCCCGTCAGACTTCACATTGCTCGTACATCAAGAGTTTTCCATAAGACGCCACAACCACTACCGTCCATGGAAATGTTTTCCTGTGAATAATTTTCACGGTGATCAGTACATAACAGTCGATGGAGTGTATTTTTTATTTCGAATACTCACATTTGCCCCTGTGAAGGCTCATCTCAGAGGACCAGCAGGTCCCAAGGAATCGCCCAGAAACAATGAGTGGGTAATAATTTGTCTCAAATCTGGATAGCTCACTATTGGTAAGACTTCTCTGAGCAGCGCAATTATGTAGGCGAAAATGAATGTGGAAAGAACTTATCACATCCGGGGTCACCAACACAGCTAAGACCTGACACCAAAGCCTGCGCCAGTGTGTTTTTTAAGAAGCAAGACTGCGCATTGCCTGCATTATCAACGCTAGGGATGCTTAGCAAGAGGTGCATTCTCATCAGAGAGCCACAGAACCAGAACCCCCGGAGGTGGGTACCAGGCCCCTGCGTTTTTACCAAGTGTCTGGTGACCGTTCACTTGCCTGTGCAAAACCACACGAAGCGCCTCCTGTTCCATGACTCGCCATGCACAAAATGGGGCCGGGGGGCGGGGGGCAATGTGGGAGTGAGGGGCATCCGGCTCTGATGACCCAGGTGACCTCGGAATACTAAAGGAAGGACGTTCTGTTGTCGGTGGCCGTGTGGACATTAAGTCTGCCCTGTAGGCAAAGCTCCAAAGAGAATCGGGCACGCAGATAAAAGGGGGCGAGGCAGATGCGCGTGGGATAAAGCGAGAAAGTGAACTCGGCGGTTCGACTGGCAGAAGCTGAAGAACTCACTGCGGAACCCGGACAGCAGCGGATCAAAAACCACCGGGGCAGGAAAAAGACCAGAACTTGCCCAATCTTCCCATTTTCCTCAGGCTTCAGTGGATGTTGCTACCCAGTGATTAATGACATACAGCACCCCCCGTTGCATAATAAATGCTTAGCAGCAACTTATTAAAATCAGGAACAAAAGCTCTTCGGTGGGAGTTAAATGTTTCTTCCTCTAAGAGAGTCTGTCCAGAAACGCACAGCTAAAAACCCAGGTAACCGCCTTCCCCGACTGGCCACAGTCTACGGAAAACACGGAGCCGCGGGGGTGAGCGGGGTGAGCGGGGTGGACGGAGGCACCGGGCGCCCCGGCCCGGACACCGCGCTGTCCACGCGCAAAGGCGGGTCTGCGGCCTCGGCGGGCCGGGCCCCTCGCCGTGTGCAG